AATTATTTTTTAGTGCAGGAGGTGTTATGGGAGTGCAGACTTGTGGTTTCTGAAGCCAGAAGCCAGAGTGGCTAATTCCTTTGAAGGACCAAAGAATCCTGTTTAAGTGCCTGTAACAATATAAACACAACTGTACTGTAAACCTTTATTTTTTTTTTTTTTGCAGGGGCTGGCATCCCAAGAGCTTGAGTGGGATGTCCCGAGAGGAAAATATTTCTGTTGGGGAGGGAGGGTCGTGAGATCATTTCTAGTAGCCTCGCTGAAGCAAGGATGGGACTGCAGGTTATGTGTTGCTGAGGTTTTTTTGGCATGGCTTGCTGCCTGTGAAGGACCAGCTGTAGCAAATAGCTCTCAAAGCTGAGTTGCATAAACAAGGGTGGGCTTGTAAATGCCTAAAACTTGGGGGGGGGAGGAGGGAGGGAAAGTGCATGGTGGAAAATGCTGGGCGAAGCTTCGTGGAGACAAGGCAGCAGGGACCTACTGATGAATTTATTGAAGCTCCCGAGTCTGCAGTGCCAAAATGTTAATCGTGTCCCTAAACGATGAGGCAGATCTGTCCAGGAACCTGCCCTAGGCTGCTGTACCAAACCGTGGATTTTTCTAGGAGAATTTGAAATGCTGTTTTCTTTTTTTGGCTTGCAGTGTGGTTTTAATGCCCAAAGCCAGAGGCCGGCTGGGTTATCTGGGAGGCTGAGGCTTGTCCTTGAAGCACAAACTGGTGAATGAGCCCGTTATCTCCAGCTGTTCTGGGGGCTGGAGCCTGTGTCCTTCCAGGAGAAGAGCAGACCTCTTCCAGGATCTCTTCTCCCAGGGCTGGGATCTTGCCTCCTGTCCCCAAAACAGCCTCTTCCCAGCTGAGTGATCCCACGTGTGAGCCATCGGTAGCATTTGAAATTCGTTCTCCTAGCTAGAAGTGGAGACCGGGGCTCTGTGTGAGAGTCAGTTGGCCTTGGAGGGGGGTGGAAAAAAAAAAGTATGTATTTTCTGAACAAACCCTCTGTGTCTGGAGGGTTTGGCTCTGTTGGTCAGATGTGGCTTTGAAGCTGTTGGGTGTCCCGAGCACGAAGTCTCTCTGAGACGCCTGGATTGCGGGGCCCGCTCTCGTGGAGCATCATCTCAGACTTAACTATGCACGGCCGGGGAGGTGGGAAGGCAACCAGGCGCTCCCGAAAAGCTGCTCTGGGCACGCCGGGGCTTCACGGTGCTCCCTCCGAGGCTAACCCACTGCAGTTACCCGAGTATCTCTACTAACTTGTTTCTTGGTTTTTGTGACACCTGTACTAGCCGGGCAGACCGAACCCTAATAAAGTCTAGAATGCCTTTAGCCAGATTGCGACGTTTTTTGGGGGTAGGGGCGACGTGGGGCGGGGAGGGGATGCTGCGGGGGCTCTCGCACTTAACACCGACTAAAACACCAACTAACTGCCCAGCTCTCAGCCCAGCTCTGCTTCCCGGCCGGTGAGCACCGAAGAGAAAGCACCAGTAACGGGGTGGGTGCTGCAGGTCCCTGTAGTGGGGGCTGAGACTTTTTGGTGCGAGGTAAAACTGCTTTAAGGGCTGCTTTGGACACCGCCAGTACGCCCCTTTATGCCTCTAAACCTCCTTCATGGTTCCAAGGGACGATTTTTCTTGCATTTTAATCTTCAGCTGGACGTAGATGACATGTAGCATGCTCTTTCTTTATTTTTTTACAGGCTTCTTACTCTCTACCCCCAAACACAGATGCACTAAACTGAGATTCCCTCCTTCCTGGTTAAGATGTCAAAAAAAAAAAAAGAGAACCCTACAGCCAACAGCTCGACAGGGCGACTTATATTGAGATTGCACTTTTGGTTTATGATGGAGTGTGTGTGGTGGGACTCCTGTGAATGAGTTGAATCTGAATTTTCTCGATCTTGCAGTGATACTGTGCTGCCTCCTGTGAGGGGGCAACGGACGATTCCAGTAGCTTGAATGGCACTTGATTTTGTTTTAAATGTTTTTTTTTCCTACACCTGTATCACTTGTCATGCGATGGGCTTGACATAGACTCACTAGATTCTTTAGAATCTGTTTCAAATAAATACAGTGTATTCAAATCTGTTGTTTTTTTTTTATTTTGCTTGTCCAGCAGGGCAGGGGGGTGCTCCCTTTGCTGCCCCTACCCCGTGAAGAACCAGGTCTGAACCCACCCATGGCCGTGGAGGAATTGGTGCGGGCACCCTGGGCTCCTGCTTCCCCATCCGGGCAGCAAAGCCTGGGAGCGTGTAGCTGCTGGCAGGCTGCTCCGTGCCAGAGGTTTCTATTTATAATGCTGCTCCTGGTGGCTCCTCAAATTGCTCGTGGCCCCATGGGCATCCCATTCCCTTGGTCATCTGAGGTCCCTCTGGCCGGGGTGGCACCGGGTGCCTAGGGGTCCTTTTTGGAAAGGTGAGGAGCTCCAAAAGCCTTATCTTCCCCAAAAGCTTGGGTCCTGGTGCTCGGGGCAGGCTCCCACCCTGGCTGGGAGCTGGGTGTGAGCTCCTCTGTGCCTGGCTGCCCTCCAGCCTCAGCTGCAGTTTCACTTCCCCATGCGGAGCTACAGGCACTTCTGGTTCCACCGCACCGAGCGAGCTGCCGGCATGCCAGTCCTTGTTTGGGACGAACTTGCTGGCTCTGCTTCTCCAAATTCTGCCAGTCCCAGGGCTGAGCTTCCCCCTGACATCGGCTTGGGGTTGTTCCTGCAGGGCTGGCGTGGGGACTGTCCCCATCACCTGCTCAGGTAGGGCTCTGTTCCTGCAGAGCCGCTCCAGGAGCTCTGCCACCTTCCCTGACCCCGTGCGTGGCAAGATGGGATGGCATCGCCTTCCCCAGGTGTCCCATGGGCAGGACTGACCCCAAAATACTCATTTTTTTGGCTCCTTCCCCTGCCAGCAGCTGGTGCTGCGCTGGGGACTAAGCTCAGGGTGTGTGACCCCGAGCAGAGCAGCAAAAGCCCTGACAGCGTCGGCTGGCATTGTTGGGGCGGATCAGGCTATACAAAGGGACGGTGGTGGAAAGTACTAGCTGTGGTCAGAAAGGAGCTCTCCGTGTTTACAGCTGAGATTTGGATCCCTCTTTTGTTAATTGGCAAATAAAACCATATATTTTTCTCATGGCCTGTATCTTTTTTTTTTTCCCCCTGCTTTGGACAGGGGGTGACGGACCAGCGCCCTGAGCACCTGGTGCAGGAGATGAGGGTTTCGGGTGCTGGGCGCTCTGCAGAGGGGCTGTGCTGGGGGCAGGATTGGTGCTGTGCCTGATACCAGAGATGATCTGAGCGCACGAGGAGCTCCTGCTGCTCTCCTGGTGCCCTTCCCTCAAAAGGAAGGGGAGCGCAGAGCCATTTGGCTGCTGGAGCTCTCCGGGGAGCCGTGGGCGCTCCGTGTGCTGAGGCTGCCCGCAGGCTGGGTTTCCCTTGGGCTCGGGGCTCTGCCCTTATTTTTAGACCCTTGGTGCGGTGCCCGTGGTGGGGCTGGGCTCTGCTTGGCCGTGGCCAGCAGCTCGGGCGTGGATGAGCCTGCTGGGCACCTTGGAGCTCTTGGGCACTTGCCCTGCGGCGCAGCTGGATGGAGGGTGCCTTGGTGGGGTCAGTGTGATGGGGTGGGCTGCGGTGTGGTGCTTTATTTGCAGGGCCTTACAGCTGCAGGGCAGCCTCCTGCAGCCTTTCTCCTGCAGCCAGGTCTGGCCAAGCCCCAAATCAGTGAAACGGGAGGAATTTATCTCAAACCTTCCGCTTGCAATCCTGTTCCAACCCCTCAGCTGCCACCGCTCTGCTCAGCACCAAGGGTGGCACCATCCCGGTGCGTGCCAGGGGGCCGCCTTGGGGCCATACTTCGGGCTGTAATCAGCCTCTTTTGGGGCACGCAGCAGCTTCTGTGCGCCCCTGCTCCTCCGCAGGAGCTGCTCGGGCAGCGCGGGTGTTAACCGTGCTATTTGAGAGCGTGCCGACCGCGAGAACAGCCTGTCTGTGCGGCTCCTCTTGCCATTTATAGCTGTGTTTGGGCGAGCCAGCGCACGGACCCTTGCGCTCCGGCGCCTGGTGCCAAGCACGAGACAAATGCTCCATTGATACGTGCGGGGCGGCGGGGCCGGCACGGAGCTGAGCTGCCGCGGGATGGCACCGGGGGCCGGGGAGCAGCCGAGCCCCCAGGGAGCGAGGGCAGCTCAGGGCGAGAAACGCGTGGAGCGCGGCTCCGCTGAGCCCTGGTGTCTTATCTGCTGGCCCTGGTCGTGGTGTGCCTGAGGTCCTGGTTTAGGCTGAAGGGTTGTGAATGGGATTTCAGCTTCGCTCAGCGCTGGTTTGGGGGCAGGGAGCGCTTTAAAGGCTTCTTCTTGTGCCTTCTGTGGTGTGCTCAGAGAGAAGCGCAGCTTGGTGCGTCGTTGGGCAAGGAGGAGCAGCAGCCCCAGTGCCTCAACTTATTATGAACAACCTGGAGCTGGGAATTCAGCTGTCCCCTTCCCTTGGGAGCCACCAGCCAGCACGGAGCAGCTCACCCATGCCCCAGGGCCAGCAGCCCGGCTCCTTGAAGCACCATGGGCATCCCCACGGCTGCTCTCCATTCCATCCCCACCGCTCCTCTCCCTTCAAGGCTCAGGTCGTGGCACCCAATGGTGCTGGCGAGCGCAGCGCCCGCTCCCTGAGCACAGCACCCCTTCCCTCCACCCAGCACCTGGGCGCAGCCCTGCCCGGCCGCCGGTGCCAGCGTGTAGCAACTCGACCGATGTGATTGAAATCATCCGCTGGCATCCAGCGTTATTAAGGGGATGAGTGACAGCCCTCGCCGAGTCATGTTTTCTTGGGAAAGGAATGAAAGAGATTATCCGCAGCCTCCAGCTCTTGCACAACGGAGCCGGGAGATGCAGCGGGGCTGGGATTTGGGGGGTCTGTGAGCCCCCTGCCCCAGCCACCGCTCATTCCTAATGCTAAAATAGCAGAGGGTAGGGGCGAGGAGGGGTGGGAGCGTGGTTTTGGGGACGAGCATTGGGCTGGAGCAGTGCCGGCGAGGTGCAGGGTGTTATCTCTCTCTGCTGTGCAAGAGAGAACACGCATTTTTACTCCTCAGGCTCTCATCATTTTTCCAGAGTCTCGTAGCCAAGAGTGGAGGAGCCGTTCCCACATCGCCCCGGCCAGGAGCGACGTTTCCCTTGGGTGATGGATGGGAACAGCTCCCTGACGAGGACGGCTTTGCCCTGCGTGCCCGCCTGTCCCGGGCTCAGCACCGGGGGCGGTCGATCCTTGCCCCGTGCTGCCACCACGACATATTTACCCTGCTTATCTCGCCGCTATCAAAACCCAGCTTCAGCAGGAGCAGTGTCACCCTGCCTTCAAAGGGAGAGCGCCAGGCAGCGCGTTTCCCCGTGGCGTTGGTGTGGCCTACATTTTTGCCCGGTTAATTTAACGAGGGGCTGGCTGCATCACGCCCCGGCCAGCCCTCCTCCCTCTCCCCGCAGCGGCCGGGCCGGGCCGGCCGATTACTGCAAGCATCCCTCCGCTGATGTGCAATTACAGCTCGCTTGGTCTCGAAATCCCGGCTAAATCCGCATGGCCACGGCGTGACTCACGGGACGGCTGCTCCCCTAATGGATCCTGGCTGCATTCCTGCCAGGCTGGACGTAAGGCGAACGTGCCACTTACTAACCACCCTCTTCCATCTTCGTCAGCGCGACGGGTCGAGCCTGTTTCTTCCCCTGCCCCTCCTCTGCTGGGGCAGGGATGGCTGGAGCCAGCCCTAAATGCTGCAATTTGCCAGCGTGAGCATCCAGGGCGTAATTCCCCTTAGCAGAGGGGTTTTCTCGCTGCTGAGCCAGGATTCAGGGAGCAGCTCTGCCCCGGGAAAGGAGAATCGCCTGCCCGGGTGTCTTGTAGCAGGTGAGCTCCCAGGCAGTGCTGCCATCCTGGGAAAGCCCAAAATGAGCCCTAAATGGGGGAGGTTGTAGGGCAGGAGGGACGCAGACAACCTCTTCCCATACACCATGCCGGGAACGCGGCGCCCGCGTCCTCTGCAGCTCCGGGGCTGCTCCGACCGCAGGCAGCTCGGGGACTTTGCGAGGCTGCCGAGGGAAGGAAGGCAGCCTTTGAAGCCCAGGCTCTAATTTGGGGCAGGATTCAGCTGTTCCAGCTCCCAGGCGTGCCGAGGCCTCCCCATGACAGCGGGCGCAGCGTGAGTAAGCGCACCCTCCCCGCGCTCCCACGTCACGGCCAGCCCTGGGAGGGAACCTGCGCCCTCCGACTCCCCTCAAGGGCCAGGGAATCGGGGGCGGGTGGCATCACCGAGGGTCAGCCCTAATAATGATGATTACCTGACCGTCACCGTGCCGATGACTTGTTTTATCCAGCCAGGCTGTGCCAAGTGTGGCACGCAGTGACCCCGACCCACCCCAAGGGTGCCCCGTGCTGTGCCGGGGCGAGAGGAGAGCCCGCACGCTGGTTGAGCCTGGTTCACCCCATGGCAAAACCCAGCCCCGTCCCTTGGGCTGCTTCTTACACAGCAGCTTCTTACCCACAGCCCCCAGGTCAGCCCCAACCCCTCCAAACACCAGCACCCACCCGGGCTCCCCGTACCCGCAGCATCTCCCCATCATAACGCACTGAAACCATGGGGCCCCTGGGTGCTGGTGTGGATGGAGGAGCCCAGATCCCCCCTGCACTCATCACTCACAAAAACCTTTGAGAGCCAAGGATTGTGGTGTTATCCTCTCAAGGAGGAGATCCAGCCTCTCGTTAGCCCCATTGTTCCCTCCTCGCTGCTTGGTGCAGGGCCAGGGGGATTCAAGGTGAGCCCACCGCTGCCCGGCGCTGCAGCACCGAAGCTGTTTGGGGTTTTTTCTCTCTTTTATCCGCAGGCCAGCAGCTGCTGTGGGGTAAAACATAAAGGTCTGCACCAGGGTTTCTCTTCCATGGAGCCATCCACAGGCACCACAACGTCCTGAAAGCAGCGTGGCTGGGATGAAGGAGGGGAAAGTAGTGATGGGGACAGAGAGAGCCTCTGCACCCCACGGAGCAGTGACCAGCCTGTGCTGGGGACACTGCTGAGCCTACAGGACCCCACAGCTCGGCCTCACACCAGGGTCTGTCCCGTGCCAAGCAGCGATGCTCCCCTGCCAGCTGCCTGGAGGGTTTGCCAGGACGGGGAGGATGCTGAGACACCCAAAGGGCTCACACTGCACGAGAGCACCGTGCCACTGCTCACCCACCCTACGGAGGAATCAGCCCTTCGCAGGCTGCCTGGTGGGTGCGGGTTGGAGCCACTTTATGGCTGTGTCTCGGGGGATTAACAGGGTGAAGGGAGCTGTTGAGACCCACCCCGGTGTGTGGGGGTGTCCGTGCACCCAGGGACAGGGCGCAGGGCTGGAGCACGCTGCAGAAACAGGGGCTGGCACCTTCCCCACGCTGCAGCCCATGACCTGGGAAGTGGCAGGGCAGAAAGGGACAGAAGGCACCACCAGGACAGGCCAGCGGGAGAGGAGTTTTGTGTCTCACCCCGCGTGGAGCAGAGCCCGGCCCTGGCTGGACTTGGCCGGCCCAGCCCTGCAGACTGGAGCGGGTCCAGCTCGATAAGCTGAGTGCAGCAAGGCTGGGCCAGTGCTCTCGGGGCCACGTCCAGGGATCTCTTGGCCATGGGACAGGACAGCGCCGAGCTCATCACCGCGGCTCTCCCCTCACTGCAGGACGCTCACCGGGGTCTCCACCCTATATTCCCGCAGGTTCTCCCCTGTGGGTGCACCTCGCAGAGCCTCCAGGAAGGATCAAGGAGTCTGCTTAGGTTGGAGCAGCCGTGTGAGGGCTGGATTTCAAGCTGCAATATCAACCGAGAGGGTAATTAGCAGTGGGGGGCATTAAAGGATGCCCCAAACCGCAGCTGTAGCCTGTGGGTGTCCGAATTGCTGGCTCAGCTGGCCGTGTTCCTGGAGGAATGGGGTGCCCGGGGTGCCATACACGAGGTTTTGGGCATCGCGAAGGGACGCAGAGGATGAACCATCCTGGCAGGCGTTGCCTCTCCAGCCACCCAGCGAGGCTGGAGGGGAGGTGGCTGCCACCAACCCGTGGCTGTCCCAGGGCCCAGCGATCCGGCACGGGGACGGCCGGGGGGGAGCAGCACCCTCCCAAACCAGCCCGGGCAGCCCGGGGAGTCCCCACGCCGTGTGTCACGCCTTTAATTGTCCCCTGGCAGGAGATGGGCTGGAAAAAAAGGAGGTAATGAGGAGCTGGGAGCTTTGTGATATCCATCTGCCCCTCTCCAGACGTGGCTCCGGGAAGCCGTGCCGGGCGGGTGAGGGAAGGACACGGCTGCCCCTGCACCCTGTGCCGTGCTCCAGCCCGCTCCTACCCCTAACCCAGCCTCTCCCCTCCCACGTAGGGGGCTCAGCTCTCCAACTGCACCCATGCTGGGCCACACCAGGACAAGCGCACGGGCTGCATCCTTGTAGGGTTTTTCAGCAGCTCCAGCTCTGAGCAGGGATGCTCGGAGGCTGCGCTTAGCTCCCCAGTGCTGTCCATGGGCACCTCGCTGCTTTCTGGGGCTCCACAACCCCTCGAGATGCTGCTAGCACAGAGCTCTGGGTTCTCACCTCTCGCAGCACCAGGAAAACCCCAAACCTGGAAAGCAGCAGCGATAAGGGGCCGGCAGGAGCGGCCGCAGGAGCGGCAGTGTTTGCTCCCAGCGGCGCTGTTTGGATTTCTCCTCGGCCAGCCCCAGCTGGAGCAGAGCTTGACAGCAGGTAATAAATTCCCCTGGCCGTGCCCTGTTCTTCGAGTATTTCAAGATTACAGCAACCTTTGTGTCCTGGCTGCTTTCTCCCGGCGAGAGCTCTGTGCACAATCCGGGAGATTAGGGCAATTTCGCCTTATTTATGTACATAACTCCGGGGTTATCAGAAGAGCCTAGGAGAGGGAGATAGCGCCATTAAAATAGCTTTGGTTTATAAGGCAATTAGAAGGCTCAATTGACGGGCTTCTAAAATGCACGAGCCACGGCGAGCGTAAATACTGGGCTCGTTGCTGCCCTTGGCATGGGCTGCAAAGCCAAGGGCACGTTTTTATGGGTTTCATCGGCTTCGTTGACCATAGCGCTGCCTGCTCTGGTGGGCCGGGCTGGTAGGAGGACAGAATCGGGCTGCCTGGTCAGCCAGGGCCAGTGGCGAAGTGGTAGCCAAAAGAATTTGCCCTTTCAGATGCAGTTTTCCAGTGGAAAAACTGAAATGGGGGGGGGTGTTTCCAGGCTTCGAGGTGGTGGACGTGTCCGTGGTTCCCCCTCGTTCCTCAGCACTGGAGGTCATGCGCCAAACGCTGCTCCCAAACGAAGGGAGAACTTCCCACAAGCTTTTAAAAAAGGGGAAAATTGGGGAAAAAGCAACACTGAGCCCATTTCAGAAGAGCTGGGAAGGGAGCCCGGGGGTCCGCAGTGCCCAGCAGCTCGACGAGGCCAGCGGGGACTTGCTCCAAAACCCTCAGCAGGAATTTTCCCCTCTGACGTGCCGGGCTGTAGATCAAACCCCGGCTGACCTGCGGGGCTGACAAAGGGACAATGGTCTCTGGGGTTTGTTTAATGTCCCCGGGGCTGGGAAGGGACGTTCCCGGCCTCCCGACCTCCCTTTGTTCCCTGCTGACCATTGTAGCGCGGAGCCCCGGGCACGGGCTGTGGAGCCCTGGGGTTTCTGTGCTGGGTCCTTGTCAGATGAAAGCCGTGGGGATGGGGTGCTCCCAAAGGGGTTTTGGTGTTTTTTTGGGATTGGGGGGGGTCTGTGTTCCAGGTTTTCATCCCCAGCTGCAGCGAAGCAGAAGAAGGGTGTTGGTGCCATGCCAGCAGCTCCCCAGGATGAGGGGACAGAGGGGCTGCCCCACATGGGGTTGTCCTGGAGCGTCCCCAAAATGAGATCGGGGCAGGGTCCCTTCTCTGCTGCCACCACCAGCTCGATGTGTCCCAAAATACAGGCATGGGTACCACTGGGACGGGCTGTGAGGAGCCCCAAAACCTCTCCATTGGGGCTGGATCTGCCCCTACAAGGGTGGATCTCTGGAGGAGGATGCTGGCCCTGGACCTGTCCCACCGGACCACAGGAGGAGGCTGTTTTCTGCTTTTCAACCCAATTTTTGCTTTGAATTCTCCATCCCTGCAGCTGCCCCAGGGACTTGTTTCACACCCCGGGTCGGGTTTATCGATGCCACCGCCTTTTTTTTCCACGAGGGCGAAAGCAGGGGGACGGAGCGAGGGTGCGCAGGGCGGAGAGGGAGGCTGTTTGCTTTGCCTATCGGAAGGGAAAGGGCAGAAAGCAGGCAGGAAAATAAACACGGCCCCAGATGGTTCGTGCTGCGAGAGCCCTGCTGGTATCGGCGAAACTTTCCATGGAAATTGGTGGCTCTGGGCGATAACGCCTCACCCCCAGCCCCTCGTCCTCCAACTCTCCTTACCTGCATCCCACAGGTGATGGATGCGGGGAAAATCCCTCGGGTGGCCGGTCTGAAACCCGGTCTGGGGGCTACTGGTGCCCTTACTGGTGTCCCTGGGCAGTGCACAGGGGTCGGGATCAGATTTGGGCACAGGAGATGCAGGGCAGGGTCCCAGTTCTGCTGGGACCAGCCAGCAAAGCTCTGGGCAAGCTGCTCGGCTTTGCCTTGCCTCAATTTCTCCATTTTTCCCCCTATTTTCTTGCATCACCCCGGAGAGCACACCCTGCAGCTTGCAGGCTGCTCGGCTGCGGTTTGCCCCCCCCAGGGGACAACAAAGCTGCCCCTTTACATACACCCAGTGAGTGACTGGTGCCCCGTGCTGGAAACGGGCTTTTTGAGGATGCAAACCCGGCACCACCCCGTGTCGAGGCTTCCCCCGGCCACAACCACGAAATAAATCAGAATCAGGACATTTCTTCCACGAGGAGCCACCGCGGTGAGCCAGAAGGCCAAGGCAAAGCCCCCGAAACCATACAAAACCATTCCCACGGGGGCCAGGAGCGGGGTGGGATGGGACCCCCTGCCCGTCTCCATCCCCCCCACCCCGTGCGCGTTGCTCCTGGCAGCCGCGGGCAGGAATGCTTCCCGCTGCCGAGCAGAAGTGGAGGCAGGAATTGCTGGAATAGCGACAGGCTGAGTAACAGCGCTAACTTTATTCTCCGAAACAAAGGGCAGTGTCCCAGACACCGAGGGCTGTTCCAGCTCCCGGCGGCCGGCAGCGCGGAGGCCAGGGCTGGGGAGCGCCGGGAGTCGCTGCTGCTGCTGGCGGCGGTGGTGGCGGAGGGGCCCCTGCCCCAAATTCCTGCTCCGAAATCTCCCCGCGGCCACCGGCGAGCCCTCCTGCTGCAAGGGGAGCTGGAAGCGTGGCTGTGAGAGCAAAGGAGGGTTGGAAAATAGCCCCAAAGGACTGGGATATCCCGCTGATAGCCCTCCACAAAGCGGCTTCCCAGCCCTTCCCTCTGCTGAGGTCTCGCTGGGTTTTGGAGGGGTCCCAGCGTGGTGCGGACACCCGAGGGCCCTGAGCAATTGGGGTGCTGTGGGATGGGCACTGGCACCCCCATCACCCTGCTCTGTCCTTCCTTTAGGGATTCCCAGCCCTGTGGGTGCTTTGGTGGGGTAGAGGAGGAGGAGGAGGAGGAGGAAGATCCCCTCCCTGGGGCCATGTCCTCTGGCCCTGCTGCTATCTCCCCATCCCAGTCCCACCCCAAGGAAGGTCCCGCAGCCCCAAGGAGCAGCCTGGAGCACGGGGCCAGCCCCGGGGCTGCATTTTCCCTCGAATCAGCCCCCGGGGCTGCCTCTGAGCAGGATCCCTCCTCGGTGCCTGCTGCGAGCAGCCAGGGCCGGCCTTGGCTGCGGGGCTCGGGGCAAGGCAGCGCTTTCCAAAGCAAATATTTGAGCAGTTCAACAACACGTGGGAAAGAGCAGGGGCGTTCGCTTCCCCGGCTCGGGGCAAGGCAGCGGCTCCACGGAGCTGGACCTGGGCCGGGGAGGGGGTTTGGCCGTGCCCTGACCCGTGCCCGTGCTGAGCTGCGCAGGTTTCGGACCTTTTTCTGCTCCGTGGGTTTGCACAAAGAGGCTTTTAGTTTGCACCCCAGCAAAGGGGCATCGCTCTTGGCTGGTGTTGAAAAGCCCTGGGCAGCGGGGCCGGCGGCTGGCGGAGGAGCTGGGCTGCAGCGGGGCCGTCTCCTCCTCTGCCAAAGATGCTCAAAGCAGCTGCGGTCCCCGGGGGATCCCAAACCCACCCCAAAACCCGTCTGCTACCCTGGGGTGGTACCGGTGCTGGGAACGGTGTGGTTCCCACCCGCCCAGGGTTTTTTCTTGGAAATGATGCTGGAGCTGGGAACTGAGCCCGTGCAGAAGGTAAGGGCTGGTTCCCCGGCACCTGCCCCGACCCGCCGGGCACCCAGCAGCACCCACGGCTGGTGCCACCCGCTCGTGCCCGTGCCACATCGGGCAGGACGGGGCTGGCAACCTCGGCCGCCTGTCCCCGAGCACCGAGGCTCGGCGCCGAGCAGGTGTCAGGAACAGCTCGCCAGCTCTTCCTCCTCCTCCTCCTCCTCTCCAGGAGACACCAGCAGTCATGGATACGGTGTCCCCAGGCGGTGCCGTGCCCCGAGCACAGAGTCCCCACGGGGTCCTGCGGGGCTCGTGCGAGCCAGGGCTTCCCCAGGGCTTCTCCATAACGGGAGCTGCCCCGGCCCCTCTGCCCTCCTGCTCCTCTCCATAAGAGGAGCGGCGGCGGGGAGCGCCGAGCCTGCGCTTGGCTTCCCTCGGCGGATTCCTTTCCTGCCTGTCACCGACCGATATAGTCCCCGCGTCAGCCCAAGAGCGTCAGCCGGGGCTGTGGCTGGCTCTCGGTGCCCAGGGGTGCCGCTGGGTGCCGGGGTTCCTTCTCCTGGCGCCGTCGCCCTCCCGCATCACGGCAGCCACCCCTGGTGCAAAAAAGGGAATGGAAAGAAGGGTTTTGGGTTGTTTTTCCTCTCTTTTATCGTTCTGGGCTCCTGCCTCTTGCAGGTTCAGGGCATGGAAAAGCTGCTCGGCACCACTGCCCTGTGGTTCCCCCGGGGAGCCAGGCAGTGGGACCCCCACCATGCGCACCGGGCTGGGACCCCTCGGGCCCTGGAGAACACCCGGTGTGTAGCTCTGCCATATCACCCCGCCTGGTGGAGTTAACCTCCCTTCAAACACCACAGCTGGAAAAATCTGGGGCTTTTTCCCTCTAATCCCCACCTCTTGGAGCCATGGTGCAAGCTCAGGCACTGCGGCACCAACATCGGGGTGCAACCACAGTGCAGGCAAGGGAAAGCCCCACATGTGGGGATTAGGATGTGCCAGCACCTTGCAGCCTGAACCCCAGAGCACTGCCTCTCCTCCCTCCTTTTTGGAGGGCAAACCCCAAAAATCTCAGACTCCAGTTTGGGGATTTGGGGATCACACCACTGCAGTTTTTGGGGCTCCTCACAGGCATACAGGGTTCAGAGCGCCGGGAGTCACAGCACCGGGGAAGGCAGCACCGGGGGGGGGCCGTGACCGAGCCGCCGCGAGCGATAAGCAGCGCTTTTGGCAATTAATCCCTCTAAAACCCTTAAGGAACCGCGATCAGGTTACAGGTCTCCCGTCACATCGGATCGCTGAGGATTAGCGTGGACAGCCTAAGGAAACGTGCGGGGCGGGCTGGTGCACTGAGCAGCTCTGCCCCACCGGTCCCTATAGGGGGTGGCCTCAATATATAGGTATAGGGGCACGGGGGGGGACCCGTCCCACCTCTGCCAGCCCCA